AGTGTCCCCAAAGGGTCCCCAAGGTGTCCCCAGAGTGGCTCTCGAGTGTGCCCAAAATATCCCCAGAGTGGCCCCAAAATGTCCCTAAAACGTCTCTTAAGTTGTCCCTGAAATGTCCCCACAGGGCGCCCAAAGTGTCCCCAAATCTCCCCAAAATGTCCCCAAAATGTCCCCAAGTTTTGGGACACGGGGGTGGCCGCGGGGGTCCCGATGTGGGGCGGGCACTGGGGGACAATTGGAACCCCCGATTTTGGGGTACCCGCGCGGGATTTGGGGGAAAATCGGGGCAGGGGGTCCCCGAGATGTCCCCAGAACTTGGGGACACCGGGGTGACACCGGGGGGTGGCACTGAGGGGACGCAGGACCCCCAAAATCCGCCCCGGGGGTCCCGATGTGGACGAAGCCCCTGGAACCCCCCGGGTTTTGGGGTACCCGCGCAGGATTTGGGGGAAAATCGGGGCAGGGGGTCCCCGAGATGTCCCCGAGATGTCCCCGAGGGTGGCACCAACCCGCCGCCCTCCCCCCTCACCGGCTCCGGTTCCCCTCAGGGCTCCCCCCCCTCCCTTCCCGCCGCCATCCGCGCCCCCCGCCGCCTCCCCGCGGCTCCGCGGCCGGCCCGGCCGCATCCCCGGTGCCCCGCGGTTCCCCCGGTGGCGGCGGGGAGGCGGCGGGGCGGCGGGGGAAGGAGGATGGCGGCGGATGGCGGCGGCGGCCGCACTCACCCCGGACACCGCCATCTTGGAGAGCGCGGGGAGAAGGCCGGGCCGGGCCGCAAAGCGCGGAAACGGGGCTGGGTGGGAGGAGCGCGGCAGTGACGCGCGGCGCCGTAAAGCGCGGGACGGGGTGGCTGCCGTGGCAACGGGGGGGGACCGCACTTAAAGGGGCGACGCTGCCTTAAAGCGGCGATGGCGCCTTAAAGCGGCGATGGCGCCTTAAAGCGGCGATGGCGCGGTGGGCCCCGCCGGGAGGCGAAGACCCCCCCCCAAAATTCCCGGAGCCCCCCCCAAAAAAGAGGAAAAGGCGGAAAATTGGGAAAAACGCTTTTATTGAGGGAAAACAGAGCCCCCCCAGCTCTGGGGGAGGGGCCCGGCTGCCAGAACCCCCCAAAATCGGGGATGGGGGGGTGGGGCTCCCAAAATTTGGGAGAAGGGGGGGGGGATTGGGGAGGGGTCGCGGCTGCTCCTGGGGCTCAGCTGACCAGGCCTGGGGGGGGAGAGAAGGATGA